AGTTTGAGCTGTAACTTTTAGATTAACTCCATTTCTAAATAGTTGCAGACATGCTTCTTAGAGAAAAGATACTTTTAGGTCTCCTTTAGGAAGCTGTTGAAAATCCAGTTCACAATAAATAAGCCTTAAACTTCTGTAAAAGGCAATCTTTAAATACAAAAATGGTTCAAGGACAACTTTTAATAATCAGATAATTAAAGCTTTAAAGAACAGATAATCACCCCTGTAGCAAACTAAGGAGCTTAGGTTCCAATTTAAAAAAAACACATACTTTGATTGAATATTACACAAGTCCTTGGAGGATAGTCCGTGTGTACACTTATTTATACAGCAAACTCTATCATAATATACCAGATTAAGAATCAGCTCTTAAGCTTACTTGATGGCCCGTTTGGTAAACAAAACATATTCTAATAATGTGAAGTTCTTTTACAAAACATTGAGCCAGGATTCAGCTTTGGGCAGATACAAGTTACCTTAACAAGCCTGAAAAGCTTGTTCACTACCAGCAACCGTAGGAAACTCTTAGTCTCCCAAAAATTGTTGATCTCTTCACTAGCTAACCTAAAACAGGGTGAACAATACACCATAAGCTATGAAGCCCAATGAGCATAGGTTATAACTTAAGGGCCATAACTAAGACCTTAATTTTAACTTAATAAGTTCCATCAATTAATTTACATTGTTCTTCCATATAAAACCTATGTTATGATACAAGAATTAGGCATAGACAAATCATCATCTCAAAAATAATCCACATTCTCTAAATTAGAACTATCTAATTGAGAACACTAAGTTCAATCCAAGCACATGCTTGGTCACCATTCCAGAACAAATAAGAAAATACATTCCTTTACCTCAAGAAGCACAGAATCAGTTCCATGAAACACTGCTCATCAATACTGAACAGTTTTATCAATGCCATAAATAAACATGACATAAATACTTAGCAAGGCAGCCTTATGCTTGTTCAACATGTAAATGAATGCAAGTTCTTATCTATGATTTTCCTTGTGGGTGTACATCCCACCATACAAATGGTCCAACCAATGGTTCTTCATACTGTGCAGTGGATCTAGATATCTTTCTTTCCATACTCCAGGTTCTTTAAGAGTTCTTACTTAGCTTAGTAGCTTAGGCATCATTTTAGATATCTTCTCTCTTTACTCCAGGTTCTTTAGGAGTTCTCACCTAGCTTGGTTCCACGTAACTTTAGGAGCATCATCATTCTTTACCCCAAGTAACTTTAGGAGTATCTTACCCAGCCTAACAGCTTAGGTATCATACCATAGATTCATATGCATATTGATGCAATCTTTTACATGTAAGTGCATGGACTGCATATTCAGTTCAGTCCTTAATGACTCATGTTAGTTTAAACTTATGCATTTTATTACAAATTGCAAATACAAAGCATATCTCAACATGTCCTATGTCATTAGGCTCACGGGTTAGTTTTGAACCCAAACACAATTAAATTCGCATACATATTTAGACTCACATAGAACTCAGAAATCAATATCATTAATTCATAGTAATCTGAATACTCACTTCCAGATTTCAAGTACAGTGCTAATTTCTCAAGAAAGTAAGTCTTAATCATGCTTTAACAAACAGATACCTATTACTAGTTCACTGCTTCCTCATGCATGTAATGAATTCTTCTTTTGATGCTCGGTTCAATGGTTGAATCATTATATTGAACTTATCTTAAGTCCAATTCACTTTAAATCAATTGGTTTACCATCTTAACTATCAATTATAGTTACAGAAGCCATAACCTATACATACCTCACAAACCCCAATACCATTCTTGGTAGAATCCCTTGGATTTCTTCAAATTCTCCCACTGATGTGCAGCGGCTCCTTTGGTTATTCTCCCTTTCTGGTTCGACCCACAAATGCAAGCGTTGAACAAACATTTCTTCATTTCTTCCAATTTTACTGCCGCTGCAAAGTTCTCCAAATCTCCTCTCATTTCTTTCGGTTGGATAGAAAAAAGGAAAGGGAAATTGCTAAGGTTTCAAAGCTTCTCTCAACTGAAGGAAAGCAATGAAGTCATAATGTGGTAAATGGAATGAAATGGGTTTTTAATTCAACCATAACCATGGGCTGATTGTGTTGGTGGACTCTGGCTATGCCACCTCATGAATCTCCAGGTTGGGTTGAGCGGCGAACAAGTCGCTGATTTTATTTTATTTTTATTAACCCCTCCAGTATCATCCGTCAATCACATTGAATTGCCATTAATTTGAAATCGGCAGCCGTGTAGTATTTTATTAGGAAAAAAACTTTTTTAAGGTTCATTCTTCCATTCATAAACTCAACCTTAAAATTTTATTTAAAAAACATTAAACTTTTACTATTCAGATCAACAAGTACTTGATGCCAATAAATTCGCTTATACATGTATAAATATAATTGATAATTTGATATTTGACTTTTGAAAATTTTTTCCATATAGGTTTTAGATTTGATATTTACTTTATTTAAAACATCTATTTTTAGTATTTAATTTAATAAATATCAGATAATTTATAAGAAAATATTTATATATTTATTGAATGATATTTTATTTT